ACTTCTCATTAGCTTTTACTTTTGGCATTTAAGCACCATATTGGTGTTTAAGCGCTCAAATTTTTCAGCCAATTTTAGGTTTCCTGAACAGGTAGCAAAGCTTTCCACCTGTATGCATGAAGTTTATGAGGTATGATTGTCTTTGGGGGATTTTACCCATTAGTTATTCTAATTTCAGTTAGCATCTTAGAATCATTTTCATCCTTTTTTCCCATATACTTTTTAGTGATACTTAGTTGGCTTAGTAGACAATTCTACCTTTGGAAAAGGTACTTTTTGATTTTACAAATAAAACTTATAATCTTGTTTTGCAGGACTGTTTGTCTAATTATCTATTCTATTTTCTTGCTTTGTGTATATAGTATGAATTTAGGGTTTTCTCATTCCTTTCTATATTTATCATATTTGTCTTGGTAATACTTAATGATGTAGCTTTTGTTATGCTATTTGATGATTTCATGGCAACAACTGTTTTCAACTCCATCCAGATGAAAACAGTTTAGTATGTAAATGGTTATCCTTATTTCTGCTTATAAGATTTGTTTTCTTTCCTGTATGGGCTTCTTAGGGATTGGTATAATTTAGAAAAATCCAAGCGTGTGAAGGCATTCCGATGTGGTGAGTTTGATGATTGCATTGAAAGGGCTGAATCCTCTCAGGGTATGCCACCCAAGAAAAGAGAGAAATATGCACGACGGGAAGATGCTATTCTTCATGCACTTGAACTTGAGAAGGAATTATTGAGGAAACAAGGAAAATTGGATATAACTCCTGATAATGCAAGTAGCAAATCACCCAGTGCAATGAAATTGGATGCAGGAGATTCAGACATTAGTAATGGAAAACCTGGCAATTCAAAACCAAATCAATTCTTGAAGAGACAACAAGATACATCTAAAAGGGGTGAGATTATAGGCAGTCCATTGCAGTGTGAAAAAGAAAAGGGTGGAAATCAACCTACATCAGAAAATGATCATGCTGAGTTCATGCCTCGGATGAAAGGATTGCAGGACTTAGGTCTCAAGAGTGCTAGTGCAAAGGAAAAACTTGTATTTTCTGGTGTGTTGGATGGTTCTTCCAAACCTATTGTGGGTGGAACTCAAGATACTTCTGACAAGGGTCCAACCACAGGGAGAACCTGTGACGTGAAAGGTAAATTTTCTTTAGAAATTAGGAGAAGGTCACATGAGGGATTTGACTAAGGATTTTTTGATAAAAAAAAAAAAAAATGACAGGAGTCATCCTCTTTTCCAAGTATTGCAAGGTAGTGCAAAAGTTAGAAGTCCATTTCTTGAAACTCACTTTTGTACACTTTCTACTTCTATTTTAGGAGAAGAGCATATGGGAGGTATTTTCCGAGCAAAGAGGAGTAGATGCATGCACTTACCATCTGAGCCTGGTGATGGTTTGGATTATAAGGAAATGCATCCAAATCATGAGATGTCAACTTCTCGCTTTAGGGAATCTGACTCTTATCCTTTTGTTAGACATCTGATTGAAGATAATTCCTCTGAGTTTATGGAAGATGTTGAATCTGGTTCTTCTGAATCTACATCTTCTGAATTGGAGTCTGAGTCTGATTCCTCTCAGACTGAACCTGATATAGATGAAGAGATGGCCTCACTTTCAGGTTTGCTTTTGCCATCCATACAGCTTGTCCTGCTTTGTATTTGGAAAAGTTATTGTGCATTCTTGCTGATTATTATTTTTATATAATATTTGTAACTTCTAAGGTTGATAACTTTCTACTCATTGTTTTTCCTAGAATTTGTGTTTTTCTTTCATGGATACAACTGTTCAATTCATATGATGTTACTGTATATCATAAATTAGAAGGCATTTCACATCAAAAATGAAGTCATTTATACCTAAATAACTTCTTTCAACAGCATTTTACTGACTTCTAAATAGTGAATCTGTTTCTTAAAGTCATAAATGGCAAAAGATTAAGCCTCTTTTCCCTTTTAGCTAAGCCCATTAATGTGAATGCAATGGAAAGGTTGAACATTACAAGGGAACACACTAGATGAGAATATTCTCTGTGATTCTGTTAATTTTTGAATTACTTTGCAGGTGTGTTATTCTTTATTTTCTTGTATGTTGTCACATGCATGTTTTCTGCTTCAGAAAATAGAAGGAACGAATTAATATGATTAATTTGCTAACTTATATAGAATAAATATATATATATTTTTGGAACAACTGTTATATAATATAGAACTTTGAAGTTGTTTATTTAGACATTTTGCACATCCCTTTTTTCTTGGCCATTATCTTCCTTCTTTTGGTTAAGGATTTCATTATCCTTGGTCCTCCCAAGATTGAAGGTCTGGACATGATAAATGCATTATGCAGAATATAGCTTTTTGTGATCTGCCATTGTGACTTAATGTTTACAATCTTGTTGTATGGAACTATAGATCATATGTCGAGCTTGTTATGCATCCCAGGGCTTGGTGTACTCATACAAGCATTTATCCTTGTTTCCCTCTGTTATCCTGATTAAAAGAGCTTTTGTCTTCCTTATGTAAGGCCTACTACGTATAGATATTTCTTTGGGGATAGTTTAGTGTTTCAGAAATATAAGGAATGAGAAGCACTCATAGCCATTTTTATAAAGACTTTTTATGTATATGAGCACCATTATTAGTAGTATTCTCAGGATTTTTAGTATGGTCATTTCAACATGGTTTTTAATTATAGACCATATATTTCTGTGTTCAGGTACTGCTGTAGCTACAGAATTTAAATTGGATGCTATGGGAAGAGCTGAGGCACTAGAAGAATGTGGAAGCATGAGTACTGATGAGTCAGATGAGTCTTCACTCTCTGGTGATATATCTCACCTTTATCCTCATGATCATCATTCTGTTAATGAAGCTGTGTCTAAATGGCGACTAAAAGGGAAAAGGAATATGCGCAATCTGGTAAAAAGGTCCATTGATGCAGATTCAAGAGGTTTCAGTGGATCAACTTTCAGGCAAAGGTCAATTGGTCAGAGTTCCTATAGAAATGATTGTTTCTATGATGATGTTGATGGGACTGGGTTTACTGCCAAGGACTCTAGGATAGACGTGGTTGGGTTTGTTAATGGAGAGTATTCACGGACCTTAAGGGCATCTAAAGATCGAGGTGCTTTCAGCCGTAATATGATTGATTGGGAACACATGACTTGTGAGAATCGTGCTGCTTTGAAGCGACATTGGGATGACAGAGCTGGACATTTTGATCCATTATTTGTTGGGCAACAATATTTTGGTGGGAGAACAAGATCCATGTTGATGGATGTTGATTTGAAGGTCCAAGCAAGCTATCAGAAAGGTCCTGTGCCCATAGTTTCTCTTATGAGCAAACTGGATGGTAAGGCAATAATAGGGCACCCCATCCAAATTGAAGCTCTTGAAGATGGATCATCTGAAACTCTTCTTCCTACTAATGGTTATTTTGGAAATGGACTCATTAACCCTGAAGTAAATACTTCTCTTCCATCCGCATGGAGGACTGCCAAGAGGACTAATTTTAGGGTTCCACGTCCACATTTGTCATCAACTTTAGGTGGTGATGAAGGTGTTGAAGATCATTCCTTTTTGCACCAAGACAGACAACAATCATTGAATAAATATAATGTCGGGACTTTTGAACACAAGGCGAGCCTACTCAGAAAGAATCTCTCTCACATTTCTCGCTCTCCCTTTGACAGGAAGTTCCAAAAAAAGATGCCAAAGAGAGTATTATCTTCTAGCCAGAAAACAAGAACTCTGTCATCGATTGGTATTGAGCAGACTCTTGGTACGAGACCCATTCAAGATAGAAGTAGCTGTCAAATGGATGGGTTGATCAAACCCGAGTCCTTCAGACCGACGACAGTCGCCTGCATACCTGTTAAATTAGTGTTCAGTAGGTTACTTGAAAAGATCAATAGGCCGCCATCAAAAGCAGTCAGTAGAATGATTGTGCCCACTGGTTATGCTGTGAGAGATTCATCCTAGATTTATTGTACGTCGATACAAGGAAATGTTATATATTTGTCAG